AGTATTATTCAGCTATACATGCGTACGTGTCTTTTCCATTATGAATACATATTATAATCAAACATTTTATTCTATGATTTATTCAAAATTATTGACATTTTTATGCATGAAGCCAAGAAACACGAATATTACAGAATGAATAACTATTAATGGTTGTAAGCGATTGGGTAGAGATTAAGCTCTCGTCCAAATGGATTGGTCATTTGATTCACGCGTCGGATCTCACAGACACATATCACAGACACATATCACAGACACATATCACAGACACATATCACAGACACATATCACAGACACATCTCACAGACACATCTCACAGACACATCTCACAGACACATCTCACAGACACATCTCACAGACACATCTCACAGACACATGTCACAGACACATGTCACAGACACATCTCACAGACACATATCACAGACACATATCACAGACACATATCACAGACACATCTCACAGACACATCTCACAGACACATCTCACAGACACATCTCACAGACACATCTCACAGACACATCTCACAGACACAACTCACAGACACAACTCACAGACACATCTCAAAGACACATCTAACATATTGAAGGAATTAAAGGATTGAAATGGCTATTGCATTATGGTACTAGTTTACTGAAACTCTATTCAGAAAAAGCATCAATGGCCTCAATGTGGTCAATGGTAATAAAAGGGGGGGGGGGGGTCAATGCAGCTTTCAACAGAAAGATATAAAATAAAACATTTGTTACCCAATCTTGTCAGACTTTACCCAAGTTTCTCCCCCCCCCTCCCCGGCTGTTGAACACTCACATAATTGTCATCACACTCAAACTCATTATTATTGTCACCAAAGGAATTCGGTCGGACCGAAAGATGTATAAATTCATTTGTTGGTCAGTCATTTCAGGATTTATTTATGATATCTGATGGCTGATTTTCCTGTGACTTTTTCCCTGCGACTTTTTTTCCATGCAAAACGTATGACTTTTTTTCCTGTGACTTTTTTGTTTCTGCTCACCGGCTCAACAGCATCAAGTGACGAAGCGTTCACATAGCCTCCAACAAAAATACCCGTAACACACATAATATTGTTGATATTTGACTTAGTAAAATCTTAAATGGATAACTAATTTAAAATATATGCCTTTGTCTGGTATAATTGCACTTAAATTTCATTGTAATGAAACTTTTTGATTTAATGTCAATATTATGTGTAAGATGGAGGGCGTGCACAATAAAGCCGGTGTAGTGGGTGTGAGGCTTGTAAACCTCTATACATGATTGTTAAAGGGGGGGGGGGCTAATGTTAGACAGTGGCAGTAAAATTAACTATTTTTTGAAACTTTATTAAATAATTGTAACGGTCACCATCCCTCTTCCTTACCGACCTTTAGAGGGGCACCACCCAAGGGCACCAAGGAGGCATTTCCTTCATCTCTCTTGCTGTGTTATGGTGTATTCATTGTTGAGTTTTTTTTTTTTCTTTATGGCTCAAATCTCCATCTTTAATTTCAGCCCTGGCTATAAATGCAGCACTGACTATTTCAACAGTGGAGCCTACGGCACCAACACTGTCTGATTCCAGTACCACTGACAACTCCACAGAAACTACAACAAGGGCTGCACCAGCAACCACAGACTTTGAAGACACACAGACTGGATGCAGACGCGGTTTGCAGGAATGTCAAGACACTTTCTACAACTCGGATAAAAACAGGTGCGTACATGTTTAAGTATAATAGGCGCAAGATCTAGACAAGTGTAAGGGACCAGAAGACACGTGACTAAGACACATTTCAAATAACGCTATACAAGTGACTAAGACATATTTCAAATAACGCTATACAAGTGACTAAGACACATTTCAAATAGCGGTATACAAGTGACTAAGACATATTTAAAGAAAGCTATACACGTGACTAAGACACATTTCAAATAGCGCTATACAAGTTTATATATTGGACTGTGTTACACCGAGGCTCAGTGAAGCATTTACTATTGTTCTGGTTCTGGTAGGGTCCGTTGCTGAGTCCATGTACTGGCATATGTGCAACGGTTGGAGATGCGATGTTGGTATTTTAACGGCTCCCAGCGGATGCTAAGGCAGGCTAGAAACTCTCGAGTTGATTTTCGAGTTTACCGTGGTTCTAAGCGATGATTGTGCTCGGAAAAAAATTATTGTTTAAATATGTGAATAAGACACTATTAATGTAGGGCTATACAAGTGAATAAGACACATTTCAAATATTTTATCGTTGAAAAGCTAGAATGTAGATGAACTTCATTTGTTTACGTTTGGTGGATGACGATGAACACAACAGTCACAGTTTGGAAACACGTCCCTGGCGCCATGGACAACGTTGTACAATAAAACCATTCTCTCTACAGGAAACAAGCCCTGATCCTTGTAGACTGTATCGAGGCTGTGGCGTGTGAGGGCAGTGACGAGGAAGTGACGCTAAAACATCACACACTGTTAGCAAGCAAGACTGACGCTCTCCATTGTAAGTTCCCTGTCCGTCAACACTACTAAAGTTTATTGCATGCATGTCCCGGTAAATGTCGTTTATCTTTAAGTGTCCATGTACGTCTCAGGATAAATAGCTAAAGTCTCCTCTTGTCGAAAGCTTATCACTAAAACAATTCTATCTAAATTATCTTTTTTTTTCAAGAGCTTTTACCTTAATCTTCTTTTGTCAAGAGCTTATATCTAAGGTTTTCTTTTGTCAAGAGCTTATAACTAAAGTCTTTTCTTGTCAAGAGCTTATAACTAAAGTCTTTTCTTGTCAAGAGCTTATAACTAAAGTCTTTTCTTGTCAAGACCTCAAACTAAAGTTTTCTTTTGTCAAGAGCTTATAACTAAAGTCTTTTCTTGTCAAGAGCTTATAACTAAAGTCTTTTCTTGTCAAGAGCTTATAACTAAAGTCTTTTCTTGTCAAGAGCTTATAACTAAAGTCTTTTCTTGTCAAGAGATTCTAAATAAATTTCCACTCATGTTATATACCTTATTTAATGTAAAAAGGCAAGCCAAAGCTCAAAAAATGACTTACTTACATTTATTTGATGCTCCTACAGGGGACACAGATGATGAAAATGGCAGGAGCAGAGCACTCGTAGCGAATGCCGGCCTGGCTATTACATTGGCTATTTCCCTTGCTGCAACAATTGCATTGATTACAGTTTGAAGTGTTCAAGTTGATGAAGTGTTCAAGTTGAGCTGCCCCCAGGCTCTCCATCAGAACAACATCATATATGGCAGCAATTTATTGTATTTTAATATTTCCTGTATATACTTTTCCACTGTTTTACTCGACCGTTTTACTCTGTGCATACGTAATGAGGCATACCATCTCTGATGTGCATATGTAATGAGGCATACCATCTCTGATGTGCATACGTAATGAGGCATAACCTCTCTAATGTGCAAATGGAAAGAGTCATAACATCTGATGTGTGAATGTAATGAGTCATAACATATCTGATGAGTAAATGTAATTAGGCATAACTTTCCATTACGTTGTGCATAAACATTAGTATTGAATTGTCTCCTTTAGACGATTTTACTTCCCTTGGCACATTTTTACGGGCCATGACACTGTCATATCTACATGCGTAATATATCAATAAAAATTGTTTTTAAATACAAAGATAATCTTTCTTTATAATTTACTTTAATTTGTTAAGTGTTTACTTAAGATAATTAATAAAAAGATTGAATGTGCGCTTGGAGAGCCGATGCAAGGTGTTACACAAGGCAACCGTCTACACCTGAGTACGTTAGAACTAAACGATTGGGAAAACTAGCATACTACAGAAACTTCATATAATTATTAGTTATCGTGGTAACAATGGTATGCTGCCTATGAAGACGATGGTTTGCTGTCTATGAAGACGATGTTTCACTGCATATGAAGACAATAGTATGCTGCCTATGAAGACAATGGTTTGCTGCCTATGAAGGCATTGGTATGCTGCCTATGAAGACAATGGTTTGCTGCCTATGAAGACAATGGTTTGCTGCCTATGAAGACAATGGTTTGCTGCCTATGAAGACAATGGTTTGCTGCCTATGCAGACAATGGTTTGCTGCCTATGAAGGCAATGGTTTAAATTGGGTTTAGGGTATGCATGTGTATTCTGTGTAATAATTATTAAGGCTAAACCTATAGCGTTTTATTGCCCTAAATTGTCTGTATCTTAAGAGTGTACTTGAACACTTTGTTGCAGCCCATCACTCTTATAACATTGCTTAATTTGACACTGTGATACCCACTGCTCTCCGAAAGTTTATATAAGAATATTAATATAGTTCAGGGGCGTGACCAATGTACGCCTTGGAACCTTTGAGGGTGGGCGAGGGAAGCAGCCCTAACTGGGATTCTTATAAAGTGCGTTCCTTGATGCATGTTTTTTTTCTTGATATTACATCTAATAAAGCAGGACTGCACAACTCAAAATGTAAGGCGGGCCGAAATACTTTATGAAATAATTGTGCGGACCAAAAGATAATAGGACAAGGGCGAAACCTATTAAGAAAATAATAATAATATTATAATATTAGATAATATTTTGTTAATAAATTCGCGGGCCGCCAAGTTGGTGCTGACAGGCCTCGTGTGGCCCGCGGGAAGTATGCTGTGCAGGCCTGAAATAAAGGATTTATACAAAAAACTTGGTATTTAGGAGTTGATTTTTCTTTACCTGACATTGATATCTGAAATTCAAGCTGAATACACACATACTTATAAGCTAAATAACCTTTAAACCAACCCGGTGACTGCTCATTTCGATTTACTATAGAATATAAGAGTACGAAAGCCAAAGTCATCAGTACAGCGTTGACGTGATGCCAACGGAATAACATAGTGGTACATCTTGAAGGTAAGGGACACAGTAAAACAAAATGATTTGTCTGCTTACACTTCTATGTTAGTTTGTTTCAGTTTTTCATTTTTAAAATCCTTTGTGTGTGTGTGTGTAAATGTACATCGGGGTTTCCCAACAAGGAAGAACTGAAGTGCACCCAAAATCCGTTTTTTTCAGAACATTTAATTTGATACGGTAGTTAATGAAAACTAAATTATTTCACATAATAAACATTAGAGTCAGTGAGATAAGAAACCCATCATTTCTATCATGCTCAATGCTAAAGGCTAATAACAGAATTTGGATAAACTAAAACCAGTAAACCAAGCGCTGTCAGTGGTGCCACGAGTCAAGGGTACGGCGTCGGAGTTAGACTGAAGGGATGTGACTTTTGAGTCGGATTATTCCAACACGGAGTCGGAGTTAACTTTTAGCTTAAGGATTTCTCGATTTAGTATCTCTGAGTCTGATCTGAGATGCCTTAAGGTTTGACTTTCAGAAAATGGCAGGATGTGTTGGAGTGGTGATATTCTTTCCTGGTGAGTCTCCGCAGTGAGAAGTTCTCTCTCTGAATTATGTTATCAGACGACAGTTAATCTCGGTATATTATATGAGAGTCGTTATTGAAAAGGGGGTGGGAAAGGCTGCAGATTGGATTGTCTGAGACGAATCCGCAATACTCGGGTTTACCCGGAGCTTGCTGTGTGATAGAGGAAATTGAACAACGCCTAATGATAGGAGCTTTCCCCTAAGGACTTTACATATAAACTCCCGCTTCTATTATTTTTCTGTTCTTTTTATATATTTTCTCTCCCCCCCCCCTCCTCTCTCTCCATTAAATAAATATATATGTGTGTGTGTGTGTGTTTAAATGGTTCCCACAGAAGTACTGCAATACTAAGGTCATCCCTTTTCAAAGTCTGTCTTTGTTGGTATCGTTGCCTTGTGGCTCTATCATTTCTTATAACCTACCGATTGTCCCCATCCAGGTTGAAAACAAAACCCAGATATCACGTTCCTCCCACCACTGTTTGGTGACTGGGCGGGATCCTGATCTTAGCCAACATGCCGAGAGACGATCGGATTTGTTCTAGGCTTGTTCAGCCACAATGGAGTTCGCTGAGACGTTTTACTAACAAGACACTTGAGCTATGACTTCAAAACTGAACAGGAATTGTGCAGTTAAATCTATTTGTACCACAGGATTCGCCTTTATTATTTTATTTTTTAAAAAAAGAGATTTGTAATGTATGTTTTTTTAATTAGCGAGCCCATCAAAGCGTTTTAATTTCGTTGTTGTTTTTTTAACTGATTTACCTTTCCCTTGTTATTGGTCAAGCTCTAATGGTTGTGTCCCTTGGCTCCAAACTGATCAAACGGCAAGCCGGCTACGTGAAGCCTGACTACCTGTACTGCAGGTACAGACTGGAGTACTGTGATAAAGAATACCAGAAACAGACCAAATCCAGGTGAAGGACATTGGGTTATAAAAAATATTTAAAACGTATCGATGGTCAGACAGAAAGCAAATCTTCAACAGGGCATCAATAGGGCATCAATAGGGCATCAATGGGCCATCAATAGGGCATCAATAGGGCATCAATAGGGCATCAATAGGGCATCAATAGGACATCAATGGGCCATCAATAGGGCATGTGTTAGTTTGGTTGGTTGGTTTTGTTGTCTTTTATTTTTTTTTGCATATTCACCCAAAACTATTGTCATGGGGAGGGGGGTCTATTGTCATAGCTATCTTACTTTTAGACTGATTCAATTTTGAGCTATTAATTCAAATGTAAATAACTATTTTTAATTGAAAATATTCGCACTTTGAGAAGGGTTAGAGCAAACTCACAAATATAATGCTGTAGCATTTATTTAGTAATGGCAGAAACATGGCAACTTGAGCTCGACAAGAAACAAGGTTTACGTTGTCAACAGATTCCACAACAAAATCAACGCCTAAACTTGTTCAAGAAACTTAATAATAATAAAGTTTATTTTTAAAAAATCACGCTTCATCCCCAAATGCTCAAAAGGTGTTACCAAGTCAACCGTATTAAAAGAGAAATGAAACAATCTATGCTGACTGGAAAGGCTCAAACAAGTCAATGTGAGCAGTTGCGTGGCTAGGGTTAGTGCCGCCTGGAACAGGAAAAAATTTTTTCCCGCCCCTTTCAATAAAAAAAAAAAAATCTGCAGGTGGCTTAAAGTGTCGCCCCTGCATAGAAAAAAAAATGTGCTGCCAGGGGCAAAGCCCACCCCCCCCCCTCGGCAACAATTTCTACGCCACTGAGGAGAGGAGAAAACTATATATGAATAATTTTTTTAGAGAATTTGTTTTGGTTTCCCCGTTTCTTTGTGTGAATATGTTCATATCATTCATTGCATCAATATGTTAATTTCATTCATTGTATCAATATGTTCATGTCATTCCTTGTATCAATATGTTCACGTCATTCCTTGTATCAATATGTTCATGTCATTCATTGTATCAATATGTTCATGTCATTCCTTGTATCAATATATTCATGTCATTCCTTGTATCAATATGTTCATGTCATTCATTTTATCAATATGTTCATGTCATTCCTTGCATCAATATGTTCATGTCATTCCTTGTATCAATATGTTCATGTCATTCCTTGTATCAATATGTTCATGTCATTCTTTGTATCAATATGTTCATGTCATTCCTTGTATCAATATATTCATGTCATTCCTTGTATCAATATGTTCATGTCATTCATTTTATCAATATGTTCATGTCATTCCTTGTATCAATATGTTCATGTCATTCAGTGAATCGGCCGAGTCGCTGCTGCACTGTGTCAACAGAATATCTCAAACAGGTGACCCCGAGTGTGAGGATATCAAACACTCAATCAAGAGGAAAGTGGAGGACATTCTAAGAAGTAGGTATTACATCATATACATTCTAAGAAAGAGTTATTACAGAATATATACTCCAAGAAGTATTTATTGTCACATAAACCTTCCAGAAGTAAGTAGTATTAGAAAGCATTCAATTAGGAAGCAGTCCACGAGTCAAATCAGAAGCGTAATAGATATTAGAGAATATATATATTATTGACCCCACACGTCTCTCTCTCTCTCTCTCTCTCTCTCTCCCTCTTAGAGAAATCCATCTAAAAAAATAATAGATATATTTTTTTACAAAAGCCCTTTTGACCATAGTAGAAATTCATCTTAAAATAATAGATATATTTTGGAAAAGCCCCTCTGTCTTTGAGAGAAATCCATCGTAACATAGTTGATAAATTTGGACTAAAGCTTTTCTCTATCTGAATTTCAGAACCTAAGCAAAAAAGGTCGATGGCGAAGAAGGTTTATTCTAATGAGATTGGTCTGGTCTGTGCTGTTACGCTTGTTCAGATGATGATACTTTAGGAGCTAATGGTCCAGATATGGCCAGGGTCACTTCTAACGGGCCTGTGTTGATTTCGTTGTAGCTTGCATAATCCATGTATGAAATGATTAAATTATGATCATATTATCCATTTATAAATCGTATCCTTCCTTATAAATTGTACCAATCTTTATATTCAGTATGTGTTACAAAATGCATGTCTGTGTTTGTGGGATTTATGCTTTTCATTTATTTTTTGATATATATATTTATTTTTAAATTAATGATATATATTTGTAATAAATAACTGGGGGTAGATTTTCATACATGAGAAGTTTGAAAGTTTAATGTGAATTTTTACATCACAAGGATTGTCCTTAGCAACTGTCAATTCCAACACAAGTGACAGTATTGAGAAATATTTTTTTTAATGGGTTTTATATGAGCTTTTAATGTTGCTAAGTAATATTGTAAGTACAAACACAATTGTGTACGTGCATTTATGAAATAGATCTCGGCCACAAGCGTTCATTAGTAAAAGAAATACTTTAATTTAAGATACATTTCAAGTGACATATAGGGTAATAAGGGGAGAGAATGCAATCTGGTTAGCACAATATAAAATGAGTAAAACAAAGTAGAGTTAAACCTGAAAAAAGGAACGCAACAAAACAACGAACGTGTCGGCGCTCATTTTATACAAGTGACCTATAGCCTAACAATTTCACATGAGCTAAAGCCTAACGATTTCACATGAACTATAGCCTAACAATTTCACATGACCTATACCCTAACAATTTCACATGACCTATAACATACAAATTTCACATAATCTATAGCCTAACAATTTCACATGACCTATAGCCTAAAAATTTCAAATGACCTATAGCCTAACGATTTCACATGATCTATAGCCTAACAATTTCACATGACCTATAGCCTAACAATTTCACATGACCTATAGCCTAACAATGTCACATGACCTATAGCCTATCAATTTCACATGACCTATAGCCTAACAATTTCACATGACCTATAGCCTAACAATTTCACATGACCTGTAACCTAACTACTTTACATGACCTATAGCCTAACAATTTCACATGACCTAAACCCTAACAATTTCATATGACTTATAGCCTAAAAATTCACATGACCTAGACAACAATTTCATATGACATATAGCCTAACAATTTCATATGACTTACAGCCTAACAATTTCATATGACTTACAGCCTAACAATTGTATATGACTTACAGCCTAACAATTTTAAATGACTTATAGCCTAACAATTTAACATGACCTATGCAAAATAATTTCATATGACCTATAACATTACAAATTCACATCACCTATAGCCTAACAATTTTATATGCCCTATGCCTAACAATTTATATGACTTACAGCCTAACAATTTTAAATGACTTATAGCCTAACAATTTAACATGACCTATAGCATAACAATTTCATATGACCTATAGCATTACAAATTCACGTGACCTATACTCTATAATGTTGCGTAATATTATATGGGCGTGTAAATTTCATGTGTTTTCAGATCTGCTTCGTGGGATGAACATTGAGTAGCAAAGCACTGACAGCCAGCATACGTAGAAAAGCGATACCACAAATATCGATATTTACAATATTAAATCTTATCATACAATTAAACCTAATTAACTAATTATAAAAACTGTTGGACTGCAATAAAGCTTTAAAATAGATTTATAGACACGAACAGATTGTGTCAATATAACAATATAAGTTACGCTTCAATAATAAGTGTACATTATACACAAGTAAACGTTTCGGCACATGCCTTCATCAGTACAAACAAACAAAACACATTTAAATAAGTATAAATTAATTTTACATAATATAAATATACATATCCTACCTAAAAAGGGTAAATCTAAAGTATTTCCCTAGCGTAGTATGTGTTCCTCAATTAACTTCTTTAGTGACAAAAGTGATGTAAGTAGTGATAAGTTAGACTGGGTGTTTTAAGGTCATGTTTAGAGGGGGAAAAAGTAGTTTAGGAGCGTGAAAGGGAGTAATGTAGGCTTATATTATATAGCAGATACATTCTTCTCAAAACTTAATGATGTTAGAAATGTAAATATCATTATATGTTTAAAGTTATGGATTGTGCTAAGTTTTTGCAATAGCACTTAGAAATTCACGCAAAGGACCTATCATTATTAGCCCGATAACATCGGGTCATTAATTCTAGTTTAAGATAATGATTCAACTACCACATATCTCCCTTTAGTGTGTTTGAGTTTGTTAATTCTAAATGAAAGTATAAATATTACTTAAGCAAAACCTTATTTTCAAATTGCTGACTGATCGTGTCTCAACACAACCAATGGTTGATTCGGAAACTGACAGAGACTTGCTCAGGTAACACAACGTCTAAATCATTGATTTTAAATAGTTTGGATTGGTTCGTTTTATGGTCATTGAGAATCTTAGAGGAGAAAAACAAATTGTGTTTTATGCCAACGTCATAGTCTTGAGACTCGGATAAAACCATTAAATTAACTACTTAATTGTAGGAATGTTGGACTGCGATAAGGCGTTCAAGTTGGTTAATGAGAAACTTTCCAGAAAGTTCGATAACTTTAAAAAGCTATATCTATGGCATTTAAGTAGGTTTTAATGGGACAAATTTTACATTTTAATTTCACAGTTATGGCATGCCCCATCCCTCCATTAACCTCAAAGAAGAGGATTATAATTATGGCATTTGCTGGAGATTTTTATCACATTAAAAAAAATCAATAGATCAATAGTTTTTACACATGTTTCGAGCAGATTATAAAATTTAATCTAGAATGTTCCACAAAGTTATACATTTTTCCAAGGAGATATTTAGTGGGATCTAAGGGATTATTGAAATGTTAGTTAGTTCTATTCATTTCTTTACTTTCCCGTAGCTTACTGTTCGCTCAGTAACACTGGGTATATTTTTACTCGATCCCTTTATAATCTCTATTCCAACGGTATCAGGATCCCATCAGAAAATGGGATCCTACAGTAATCTGGATCCAATCCTTGAATGGATCCACTGGGACCGGGATAACACCGGGAAACGCGGCGGTCCCGGGATCGGTGTCAGAAAGGGATAATGTTTCCAATGGGATCGGGATCACAACAGAATGGGGTCCTAATGCTATCCTGGCAAATGCCGGGTATATCTGCTAGTACATATATATATATATATATACATATGTTTATGGCATTTTAAAATATATTTTAATGGGACAAATTTTAAATTTTAACTCCATAATTTATTTGCATGTGTTTATGGCACCCCCTTCTCAGGCGAGATCATTAGGTACAATTATGGAATGGGCTCCAGCCGGGGCCCCCTTTTTTTATTTAAATGTAATATAATTATAAAGTGCAATTTAGTTGTATAATACTTTGTATTAAAAAATTAATTACTTAGAAAAGTAATTTTTTTACAGGTTTCGTGGAGGATATTAAATTTAATCTAGAATTTTCTAGAAGGTTCTATATTGTTTTACGGGGATATCTAATGGGATCTAAAAGCTTATTCGAGCAAAATCATACTAAGCTTGATCCCATAGAAGAACAGGATACTAATGGGGCACGAGATCCAACAGTAAACTGGAACCCTTGCTAAACGCGATGCTATCGGGTAACTGGATCAAACCGGGATCGGGATCCTATTGGGAAATGGGATACTATCGGCAAGGGGGTCGCTAGGTGGAATGGGATCCCACAGAGGATGATATCCTAACGGGATCGGTAGCCCACTGGGATCGGGATCTACCGAGATTTGGATCCCACTTGGATCGAGATACCGACGGGATCAGGATCACACCGCAATCGGGATCCCCCCCCCCCCTGGATCCGAAGCACCAAGAAAACGGCGTCCCACCGGGAAACGGGACTGCACCGGCATCGGTGTCAGAATGTGATTGGGGTTCCATTGGGATCGGTTTCCCAATAGAATGCGGTCCTAATGCAATCGCGGGCAACGCTGGGTAAATTGGCTAGTTCTTTGTCAAATGTAATATCGAGAAATGAGTGGCTTTGGAGGTGTTGCTTTGGGGGTGTTATTTGTTTTTGTTTTTTTTTAGTTGGGGGGGGGGGTAATTCCAATTTTTTTTTCAAAATATAACTCAAATGAACTCACTTTGGCTCTCATTACTTGCATACAACATACGAACAACGGCAATGTTCAATTGCCATTGTGGCCAGCACTAGAGTTTATTCGATTTCTTGCACGTTTGAATTTTAAGAGTTTACAAATGTTTGGACAAGAAAAGATAAGATTAGATTCTTTATTTATCCCAATAGCTAGAAATATGTTCATGACATTGTACATATTCATTTTCAGCACATGTATAAATACACGATTTAAACACGGCAAAATTTCACAATAACAGTTTAAACACTAAATGAACCACAAGCAAACGGGAAAAGTGTACGACACAACCAATAACAAAACATCACACTGGAGTCTTATCACTGTGAGTCTTCTCACATGAGAACGTCAATGACACAGAAAGTTACTCCCAACTTAAACGAACTTGTTTTTGTAGCCAAGAAAATGTGACAAACAATGTGACAAATCGGTATAAGAACGAAAATGGCTATACCAATGATTTTTAATTATTAAAACTTGTTAATGTTTTCATATATTAATGTTGTTTTTTTTTTTAAAAGATTAATTTTCCGCTTATTGAAAGTTTATCTTGTTCAGCAAGAAACCTTACATGTGATTTGAGTTTTGGCCCACCGAACGTTTGAGTTTGAGTCCACTGAAATAGGAAATGTCTTTAAAAAATCTCTTATAATATACTTTTTTATTTTGAAACTGGTTCCGTATTGATAGGGCTAGGCATGTAGAAAGTGAAAAGCTTTAAGAGGCTGACCAATCTTCAGTAGCATCGTTAACATTGACCTACTTCAATGACATCGTTAACATTGACCTACTTAAATACCATAATCAACACTGCCCTACTTCAGTAGATTCTTTAACAATTTGACCTACTTTTCTAGCATCGGTAACCTTAACCTGTTTCAATGGCCTCTTTAACAAGTTGACCTACTTCAATAGCCATCTCTTAGAAGTTGACCTATTTCAGTCATATCATTTTAACATTGAACTACTGT